TTTGTGAACCGGAAAAGGGGGGGGGGGGAGGATACTTGAAAACTAAAAGGGGGCCTTAACAACTTGCATTTTTGTTGCATTTTAGTCACAATACAATAGATTAATAGATGTAGTCATTTTTATTTGCTTGATTGCATGACAGAAGAATAGAAACAGAAAAGCAAACATCTTGAGAAGTGGTATGACATTGTGTTTGCGTTATGAAAGCCTATTCCCCCCTCTTGGGAAAGCACACACTTGGACTCGTCCTGTGTGCTCTGTTTGGAAAAGTGAGGCAATAAGATTGTTATTAAAGAGTATGGTACTTATTTAGTCCAGTCTGGGAAGATAGTCCTGTTTATACATTGTAATCGTTCACGCATGCGTGCGTGAGTGTGCGCGCGTGCATGTGTGTGTGCGCGCGTAAGAGAGAGAGAGAGAGAGAGAGAGAGAGAGAGAGAGAGAGAGAGAGAGAGAGAGGGGGAGAGAAAGAAAGAAAGAGAGAAAGAGAAGGGGGGGGGGGTGTTACATTTATTGTATGAGTTGTAGCATCATCATCATCATTGCCTTTCTCACCCTGCATCAGGGTATTGGCCATGGACAAACACCCTCCACTTTTCTCTATCCTGGGCTAGCCTCTTGGTGTTATTCCATGTCTTCCCACTTTTTTGTACATTGATTTCTGTGACTCTTCTCCAAGTTCCACGAGGTCTTCCCCTTGATCTCTTGCCCTGTGGGTTCCAATCCAAAACTTTCTTTGTTATGCAGCTGCCTGTCTTCCTGAGAGTATGTCCAATCCATCGCCACCGCCTTCTTCCTACCTCATCTCTGACTGGGATCTATCTTGTTTTCCTTAACACTTCCACATTGGTGACCCTGTCTGTCCATCTGATCCTCAGTAACTTTCTTAGATACCTGTTCAAGAAAACCTGGATCCTCTTTATACAAGTCAGTGATGCGTTCCATGCCTCACATCCATACAACAGGACCGACTTCACGTTTGAATTGAAAATCCTCAGTTTTGTTCGAAGTGAGATCTCTCTGGTCTTCCAAATCCTATCCAAAGATATGAAAGCAGCCTGTGCTTTTCCAATGCGGGACTTTATTTCAGCACCTGTTCCTCCCTCTCTGTCAATTATGCTCCCAAGATAACAGAAGGACTCAACGTTTTCTAGGGCCTTTCCTTCTATTGTGACCTGCTCCTTTCGTTGTGCATCTGTCCTTAGGACCTTTGACTTTCCGGGGTGGATCCTCAATCCAACAGACTCCGATAGGCTGTTTATTACTGAAGTCTGTGCTTGCATCTGTTCCTGGGTGTGCGACAGAAGCGCCAAGTCGTCTGCAAAATCCAGATCATCCAACTGTGTCCATGGTGTCCACTGTATACCATTTCTGTGTCCTCTGGTGGTTTCCTTCATCAGCCAGTCGATGAGTTGTAGTATACACATGCAAAATATTCCCATGACTTGTAAACTATATTATCTGAACGCATCTTAATCTACCACACAATAGGACATTGTCCCAACAATGGATATACACAGAGACGATCTTATTTTCTATAACAAAGTATGCATGCTTTTACTAGTACAAAACTGGATTTATTAGACTAATAAATCCAGCTCTCTACTTACATTTTTGTGACAAATTGATCCAGAGCATTGCTTGGCAAGGAGGAACCTTTTATGTTGCCAAGTTTCATTCAAATATCATGACTTTGGGAGAACATATGACTGATAATCTTTGTAAATGTGTAAAGAACGCCACTTTTTTACCTGTTAATGTCTTTACAACTCAAAAAGTATGACAGATATTAAAAATCTGACAGCATGACTAGATTCTGCATTTAAAAATGTACTAGACTGCCAAGTTTCATTTACATATTCCAAGAAATAGGCGAGCTATGACAAATATTGTCTCAAAACGCACCGAAAACCGCCACATTTTTACCTGTAAACGTCTTCATAACTCAAAAAATAGGATAGCTATGAAAAATCTGAAAACAGGACTAGATTCTGCACTAGAAAAATGTACTGGGTTGCCAAGTTTCTTTTAAATACTCCTAGAAATGAGCGAGTTATGACGAATATTGTCTCAAAACTCACCAAAGAATGTCCCATATTTTGGGGTTTTTTCATTATATAAAAGAGTACCAAAAATTAATTGATTAAAAAATCTGTAACTTTTTTAAAAAGTTCCATGCTCTGTGAAGATAAAGCTACAAAATGCACCTATTTGCAAACACTTTCTGGCAAAAAAAGGTTTTTCGTGGTCATTGCTAGACAATGTCATTGGGCAATGAGACTAATGAGAGTGCAGTCTTTTGACTTTTTACACAATTACACAGTCCTACTAGTACCGGTAGGTAATTCTAGTTCTAATTCTGGTTTTATGTAATATCCTCCGATGACAGTTATATTTTGTAACCTCCTTACAAAGTTACATTCACATAACTCACTTATGGCTCCCCCTGGGGAAGTGTCACTGACTGTAGTGTCTTTAGGCCATTCCCAAAGGGGGGACATTTCTCGTCCAAGCACAGTAGAATTGTAAATGGGCTGATTCATGTCACGCTCATAACTGTACCTGATCTACAACAGGGAGCTGCTGC